GAAACCGGTACGCACCGGACAAACGCGCTTATCATACTATACTACATACAAAGTAAAACAACAAAAATGGATCGAACAATATCAATGTTTGGTCAGCGCGTGTATCATACGCGCTAGTGTGAAACGGGCCTAAAAGTGTTGGTTACAGTTTGTTATAAAGACCTTATTGATATAGACTAGAAGTGAATTTCCAGCCGATAGTTACAGTCTTTTGGTAGATAAAAATAGTATATTTTCGTCTGACCTTGTCAAAGCGGCCGATTCCCAGGTAACCGTTATTATTATTGTTCACTCGCTGCCATATCATATACGGCGGCCCCGTACCATCTTATCGCGGTACTTCATTACAACAAAAGCAATAATAATAACACTTGTTTTCTACTGCAGTAGCAAATTTGACCGTAAACGGAGATATTGTTTATCTCCGCTATCACAACGTAGCATACATTTGATTATTAAGGTTTGTAAATAAACATATAATGTTCACGGTCAATATGTCGGCGAAATCATTAGCACAAATGTGAAATGCCCGCAACATTAGACGGTCGTACGGACAAGCGTCGCTACCACGGATGTGTAGTATGGGTTGGCAAGACGAACATTATCCGCGCACTCATTCATGTGAGAACGAGCCGACCGATTTTTCGTTTACGCGCCAACCACAGTCTTTCAATGATTTGTCCGCAGTTCGCGGTCTGTATTGGTACCTTACCACGACCTGCGCACCGTACGCGCCTGCTTACCTGAATATTACGGGAGAAACGAAGAGGACCCACGGGAGTTTCTAGACAGAGCGGAGGATCTACTCTGTCAGGACGGTATACACCCAACCGCGTGGGTGAACATCGTCGTCCCGTTTCTGAACGACAGGGCAGGTGATTGGTGGCCAGCGATTAAATTAAACAATATGCCATGGGCGGAATTCAGGTCCGAATTACTCGAGGAGTTGGACAATATTGATATCAGGACTACGCTCGAGACGGAGTTAAAAACGACGCGACAGGGCCCCCGACAAACGTTAACCGAGTTTATTATTCATAAATAACGTTTGGAGGCCGCGCGAGTACGTTGTGGTTTACCGGAGCAACAACTTGTGCGAGAGTTAACGGGGCTTTTACGGGACGATTACCGCGCTATGATACGGTTAATGCACCCAGCGTCTTTCGCCGATCTACGTGAGATAGCGCACGACCTAGATAAAACCGCGGCTCTTCGGTACGCTCCGCCAGTGTCCCGACAGCCAGCCGATCTGCCTCCGCGGCATACCGCGCAACCAGCGGCCCGACAGTGAGTGGGTTATGCAAATACGGACGCACCGCCTACCCAGTGCCGATATTGCGGCGAGCGACACTGGCAATGCCAGTATTAGGAAACGGCATGAAAGGTTACAAATATAAAAAAAATCAAACTAATTGGCCGCAACAAAAAAATTTGTAACTTTCATGGCGCATTAAAAAATTACAAGAAAAGGGTCTCCAACCTACTGGGCGAGACAATGTATTGTCGCACCACAGTAGGATTTTAAAGAAAATTAACTTTTATATATTAAAACAATTAAACAAAAATATAAAATTAATAAATACTAAAGTTGATGTCCGTTGAGTCATTGATAGTAGATGTACACCAAAACCTCGTGACAATTGTCACATAACCATATCAATGAGGGATGACCTTATACAAGGCCGTTGCCGGTATCTTATAAATTTAGGGGAAATGATTTTTGAAAGGAAAAAAATACACGAGCCCATTGAAGATTGAACACGCAAAAAAAAGAAAAATATGATGGTTCAGTTTAATTAAGGGGAATTTATTAAGTAAAAAAAAATTAAGTTAACACAAGACAAAAAACCGAATGGTTAAAAAACCTCGTCTACAATTTAAAGGAGAACAGAGAAAAAAAAACAGATATTAATAAAAAAATAGTTACACCTACACTTTTATTATTAGAGAATACGATGAACGTCTTCGGGTACCCACCGGCTATTAATCACGGCATTGGGTATACGTCCCAAGTAAGCGACTGGTTTTAAGCAGTTAGACTTCGTTTGCAAGACGTTGGGACATCCGGAATAAAATGCACTACGTCACCACATTGCACTAATAACCTATTCATCACCCAATAAATTGAATATAAAACCTATAAAAAAAATCACAAAAAATATATATATAAAATGACAGGTGGTCTTGTACACGCCTGTCATGATGCGGGATCTAAATAAAAAAAAACCCAGCACAGGGGGATCGCGGCACAGTGGTGACGTGGCATAGTTGGATCAAGTATAATGATATCTGACAGTGATTAAAATCAATATAAAAAAAAAACGCTTCGATGCAAATCTTTAGATAGTGTTTAATTTTAAAAAATTGGTGGATTATTCCAAAAGCTTCATAAACTGCTAGTTCCTTATTAATATCTCGATTAAGATAAAGTATGTCGAATGAAAAAGGGTTTATTAAAAAATATTATTTGTCATAAAAAAATTGTGTGGATCCATAAACTTTTCAATAAGTCATAGCATTATAAAGTTAAATATAATATAAATAATAAAATCGAGAATTTTCACACAAAAATAGCATTCGGTAGCCATTTTCGCCGTGAAGACAAGTCCAGAGGTAAAATTTTTTTTTTTTCAAATTAAAGTTTATTACATAAGCTTCAATTTAAGATATATATAAAAGTGTCAGACCTTCCGGAACATTTTCAAAAGTTAAGTTGAAAAAGTTCTACTTTCTACATGCATTTTTTAGATTTGAACCCCCCTTGTATACAGAAAAATGGTCCGATTTAAAAAAACAGTATTTCAAATGAAAGATATATATGAATACTACTCCTCATGAAAAAATTGTACTGATCCATACATTTTTCAAAAAGTTATAGCATAAAAATGTTAAAAATGTAAAATACATAATCGAAAATTTTCACACAAAAATAGCATTCGGTAGCCATTTTCACCATGAAGTTAAAATAAAGTCCGAAATTTTTTTTTTTTGCATAACAAAGAACATTACATTAGCTTTAATTTAAGATATATATAAAAGTGTCAGACTTTCCGGAACACTTTCAAAATTTAAGTTGAAAAAATTAATTTTTTGTGAAAAAGTTGTCATTTTAAATCCCCCCCTGTGGGCAGGTTAAGGGTTAAATTTATAAAAAAAATATACCAAATGATAAGTAAAGACATCAAGCATCTATAAAAAAAAAAATTATATTGATATGTTCATTTTTGAAAAAGTTATGGCACTTTTAAGTAAAAAAAATTGAAAAAATTTCGAAAATTAGCGATTTTTAAATTCGTAATTTTTTTGGAGGTTTCCCCCATTTACGGGGAACGAGGGAATTTTTTTCAATTTTTGAGGGTAATGTCTTCGATTAGATACAATGTGTGATCTTTTGACGTATCATAGAAAGAAATCGGTTCGGTGAGAGCTGAGATAAAATGGTAACAGAAAAAAAAAAAAAAAAAAAACACATCTTAGTAAAACCAATACCTTCTCAGCTTCGCATCGAAGCTAATAAATAATCTAAACAATTCAATATTAGAAATTGAAATAAATGAAAGCTAATTGGAAATAAAAAATGTACGAATTGGTTTAATCTTGTTAGCCTTATGCACAGTTATTTTTGTACGACGCAATAAAAAATTATATTTTTGAAATCTAGACTAGTTGCTCTACAATATCTATGCATTGATACTTGGGTAAAATAGGGTAATTTTTAATATTGTGCTTTTTAGTTTCAAAAACGCCTCAAAAAATGCTCTATTTTATTAAAACGATTATTACTTGGTGAAAAAAAATTTTTTTTAACTTGTTAGAAAACTTTACAACGAAAGACCTTTTTTCTGTTGAAATAACCGTACTATAACCATATCTATACTTCAAACGGCTATAAATAACGACCGGATTAACATGTGACCTTGAAATTTTATATTTTGTCTACGCAATATACTAGAATTGAATTTTCATAATTATTTTAACATTATGAGTACATTTTAAAATGAGACTTATGAGCGCCTAAAATTCGATTTCAGACCACTGTGCGATCGCGAGCGTACTCTACAATCGAGGGATGTGGGACAGCCGCGTGGCTACCCTCCGTGAAACCCGAAGGGCCCTCGCTACCATGCCGGTGGTCCCGCGGTCTGTGCCGAACTGTTGGTGCCTCCTCTCCGCAGCGCCATGTTACCGCTGGCGCGGTGGTACAGTGACCGGCGTGCCGAAGACGTCGGGCCGCCGATCGTCCCGCTTCGACACCCTACACTCGGGACGGAGCAGCCGACGTGGCGAGCACGTCTTCCGGGGCGGGCTCGGGCAGCCGACCGCCACTGGCCTACCCGGTCTATAGGAAGCTCACTCAGCGCATCAACAGGGCTTTCAAGGAGAGGAAAGACCGGGAGAGAGAAGCGGCCAAACCGTCCACCTGCTACACCTGCGATTCCAATGCCCGCGCCAAGGACCCATCCACCATCACTGTCGGAGATCGTGCGACACTCCTCCACAGCAACAATCACCACAGCTGGACCGGCCCCCCATGGAAGTCGAGGACGCCGTGGACGGGTTCCTTGCAGACTCTCCTTCTCCCCCCCGNGGAAGTCGAGGACGCCGTGGACGATTTGGGACGCGCCGTGGACGGGTTCCTTGCAGACTCTCCTTCTCCTCCCCGTTTCCATCGTGAAACCCCTCGTCCGAGTAATCCGCCGAGGTGTTTCCTTCTTTTTTTTTCCCCCTTCGGTCCTGACGTCTTCCGTATGTTACGGATGACCGGACCGAATAGTCCATTCCTTCTTGCCAACGAGTCTGAAGGTTTCAGTCTAATACGGTAAGTGTTGAACGCAATATCAATGACCACACACACAAGGAACATGGCGGTAAGTCAA